CTCTCCCGGCAATGCGCTATTAGCTAATCCATGTTACCGTAAATAATGTGAAATATTCATTAGGTAAAATCTAGAAATCCAGTTGAATTGTTAGAGAAAAAAAGTCCAGATCACGCAAACTAGTTGCCTCACGTAGGTATACTCAAACCCCATTTACGAATTATTTATGATTATACAAGCATTTGAACAAGCTCTGAAGCATTTTAACTTATGGGAGGGTCAATTCAATGGTTTATCCTTTTCTGATAACTGTTTGAGTGAGTGAGCAACGCATCGATCTGCTCAATTCTGAACCGATGACATGTGTCAACCAAGTCAGCGAGCCTGACCACCCGATCCCGTTAGTCGCCTGTTACGACAAGCATGGGTTACTGAAGATCAATTACTATTCTAACCCGGACCTTCACGAGTCTAACTGTTTGAGATAAGAGCTATGGTTGCCTCAGTTATTATGTTTACATTCATGCTAAAAACTCAAAAATAAATAAATAAATAAAAACAAATTAGAAGAATGACCATTTATTGCACAAATATACTTATAAACGGCCACATATGAGACGCCTAACTCTTTCCATTTTCATAGCTGTTTTTAAACTAAATTCTTGTCCAAGCTTCTCTGCTCATACGATATACCAATCACATAAACCGAAGTAGTTTACATTAAGACATTAAAAATACAAATAAATTTTTTTTAAGAGCAAAAGTTGAAATTGCCCTTTTCCATAGAATAACCCATTAGCATGTATTATTTAATCTCAGAACATATGTTATCATATGTTAACTAAAAACTTCAACGAGAATAAAGAAGCCGCCCATCATATGTTAACTAAACAAACAAAGAACAAGTTACTAAAACAATTTTAATCCATTTTGATCAATGGGAAACGCTTATTTGAAAAAAAACCCGGTATTGATTTCCTTACTCAATGTGGCTTTCGCGGCGATTCGCGGCACCGAGGTTTGTACTTGAAATGTGACTTTAGCGGCAATTGGTATTTTTCAAATGTGGCTTTCCCGGGCGGACACCGCCCTTTTAGCTGAAACAGTAAGTTCACCCAGACATCTCAACACAAACAGAACCCATGCTTGTCGTAAGAGGCGACTAAAGGAATGGGTCTCGCTGACTTGGTTGACACATGTCATCGGTTCCCAATTGTGTAGATCTCATGCTCATGTTGTTGATCACTGGATTGTTTGGTCCAGACTCGATTATTTACAGACCGCCGCCATATAGCTGGAATATTGCTGAGTGCGACAATACCCGTAGTAATAGCAATGACGTCATTGATAGTACTATTTACCTGGCAGCAACAGTGGTCTAAATGGGCAAAGGCAGAATATTCAGGGTGAAAATAGCGATCGTGACACAGCTGCTCTTGATATAATGTAGATGGGAGAGGCAAGCACTACCTACTGCTATAGTCTTAATAGTTGTAGAAAGTTCCACATCATGGACTGACTGACTGAGTATGGTTTTACGCCTTTTTTAGCAATATTCCAGCAACTTCTCGACGGGGGACACAATAGCTACGGTACAAAACTACCTAGATTCCAATAGCATAATAATATTGTAACGTCCACACTCCTTACATTATACAGTAAATATTTTAATCACAACTAGTTATTGTTAAACCAAAATGATATGAACTTCTACTGGGTCTCAACACAGACAACGTGATGCAGTTACAACGGTTTGACACAGAGTTACACCGCCATACATCACAGTTAATACATAGTTCAAGCTACTCATGCTTGTATTGATGATAAGGTGCTGGAACTGTGCTAGGTGGACACAGTAGTCGTTGCTGTAGAAGACGCTGCTGCCAGTAGTAGGACTGTTGTAGAGACTGTTGTAGCAAAGTTGCTGATGAGACGGAGAGCCGTGGTTGTAGATCAAATCATAGACTAACAACTAGTCTCTGAAATGAACATATTTTACTGAAAAAAGTTCATAGTAAAAAAAAATATAATATAATGAAAAGGAGCCCTGAGACTTTCTTCATTTTCAGAAGCTGAGGAAATCTAGACTTGCAACATTTTCTAGACTTGCGTGGGCTTTCTTGGATATATTTGCTTCAGGGTCTGCACGACAGACTAATCAAATCATAACGACCCGACACGTGTCCCTCCAGCCCCCCTCCGCCAGGGGGAGCAACACAACACGTCCGATGTTCGCCTGAAGAAGGATGTCAGAGGTCTGATCACACTATGTGAAAGCTGCGTAGCACCACGTGACTGTCATCGTTCACGCTGGGAATTTGTCTGCCCCACTTGTCTGCCCCACTTGTCTGCCCCACCTGTCTGCCCCACTTGTCTGCCCCACTTGTCTGCCCCACCTGTCTGCCCCACTTGTCTGCCCCACTTGTCTGCCCCACCTGTCTGCCCCAATGGTCTGCCCCACTTGTCTGCCCCACTTGTCTGCCCCACCTGTCTGCCCCACTTGTCTGCCCCACTTGTCTGCCCCACTTGTCTGCCCCACCTGTCTGCCCCACCTGTCTGCCCCACTTGTCTGCCCCACCTGTCTGCCCCAATGGTCTGCCCCACCTGTTTGCCCCACTTGTCTGCCCCACCTGTCTGCCCCACCTGTCTGCACCACCTGTCTGCACCACTTGTCTGCCCCACTTGTCTGCCCCACCTGTCTGCCCCACCTGTCTGCCCCACTTGTCTGCCCCACCTGTCTGCCCCAATGGTCTGCCCCACCTGTTTGCCCCACTTGTCTGCCCCACCTGTCTGCCCCACCTGTCTGCACCACCTGTCTGCACCACTTGTCTGCCCCACCTGTCTGCCCCACTTGTCGGCCCCACCCGTCTGCCCCACCCGTCTGCCCCACTTGTCTGTCCCACCTGTCGGCCCCACTTGTCGGCCCCACCTGTCTGCCCCACCTGTCTGCACCACCTGTCTTCCCCACCTGTCTGCCCCACTTGTCTGCACCACTTGTCTGCCCCACCTGTCTGCCATACCTGTCTGCCCCACCTGTCTGCCCCACCCGTCTGCCCCACCTGTCTGCCATACCTGTCTGCCCCACTTGTCTGCCCCACCTGTCTGCCCCACTTGTCTGCCCAACCTGTCTGCCCCACCTGTCTGCCCCACCTGTCTGCCCCACTTGTCTGCCCCACCTGTCTGCCCCACTTGTCTGCCCCACCTGTCTACTGTGTGTAAAACATCACGTCCATGTGTAACAGAAGTAGTATAGGTAATGAGTCCGGCCGCAGAGTCTAGAAATATGAACAGCGCAGTCCTAAATCACACATCAGCAGTAAAGATGCACTAGAATGACATCCATGTGTTTTCATGCAGCAGCTCGTTTGGTACAAGTAGATACCTATTGGTTCCAGACATTACCCCACACGGGCATCTCCCTACAGGTACTCTACAACATATATCCCTTTAATGAGTCCTGACATACTCTACAACATATATCCCTTAATGAGTCCTGATATACACTACAACATATATCCCTTACTGAGTCCTGATATACTCTACAACATATATCCCTTAATGAGTCCTGATATACTCTACAACATATATCCCTTAATGAGTCCTGATATACACTAGAACATATATCCCTTAATGAGTCCTGATATACACTACAACATATATCCCTTAATGAGTCCTGATATATTCTACAACATATATCCCTTAATGAGTCCTCATATACACTACAACATTATAGCCCTTAATGAGTCCTCATATACACTACAACATATATCCCTTAATGAGTCCTGATATACACTACAAGATATATCTCTTTAATGAGTCCTGATATACTCTACAACATATATCTCTTTAATGAGTCCTGATATACTCTACAACATATATCTCTTTAATGAGTCCTGATATACTCTACAACATATATCTCTTTAATGAGTCCTGATATACTCTACAACATATATCTCTTTAATGAGTCCTGATATACTCTACAACATATGTCCCTTAATGAGTCCTGATATACTCTACAACATATATCCCTTAATGAGTCCTGATATACTCTACAACATGTATCCCTTTAATGAGTCCTGATATGCTCTACAACAAATATCCCTTTAATTAGTCCTGATCTACTCTACAACATATATCCCTTAATGACTCCTGATATACACTACAACATATATCCCTTAATGAGTCCTGATATACTCTACAACATGTATCCCTATAATGAGTCCTGATATACTCTACAACATGTATCCCTTTAATGAGTCCTGATATACTCTACAACATATATCCCTTAATTAGTCCTGATAAACTCTACAACATGTATCCCTTTAATGAGTCCTGATATACTCTACAACATATATCCCTTTAATGAGTCCTGATATACTCTACAACATATATCCCTTTAATGAGTCCTGATATACTCTACAACATATATCCCTTTAATTAGTCCTGATATACTAAACAGCGTATACCCCTTCAGTTTTTGTGATACACTTTACTTGTGCCTCGTTTACTCTCCCCGGGGCCCCATCACTGTCGCTGTCCTTCACAACAGGTGCTCGATCCTTCAGTCCTTGTGTCTCATTCATTGACCATTCCCCTCGGCTGACCATCAGCTGATAATTTGATTCGCCACACCAGGGCATTGCGTTATTAACTACAAGAATATTCTCCCCAGGCAGAAAACTCGAACATTTCATTGTGAAGAGAGGAGGTGAGATTCCTCAACAGCCCCTGCAAGCTATCGCTAATACGCGATGGGAACATGTTTAAGTGGGGCTAGATGGTGTCAAGGCAGATCTAGGGAAGGTCACGGGAACCTCAGAAAAAATATCACAAACCAGAATCTGCTAAAATGCCAGACATAAACACATTCTATACACAGCTCTTTGACTTGAACTTCGGTCACGTCAGTTGTGGAAATCTTCCCGAAAAGAGACAAATGTGCCTGCGACACATCTGGACATCCTCAGCATTCTGCATACGCGTTACACGTACCCGTTACATGTACCCGTTACACGCACACGTACACATACACGTACACATACACGTCAGCACTGCTCAGAATGACGTACAACCCTGCACGTGATCTAACTACACCGTGAATCTGAACATGCTTGACATACAACTGTTTGACAACAGTAGATCCAGACCCTACTTGTGTCACGTGACATCCCTAGTTACGTCATCGGGAACATAGAACTGTATGCTTCATGCTCACCACTCAACACTGGTGGCGACGGGAGTGCTGTCTGGGACTTTTATATAAAACATACAATGGATGCTGTGGAAAATGTAGTTTTTTTCTCTGTTGAGTATGTTATAAAGAAAAGAATGTTCAGCACTTCTTCAGATAAACTAATTATGTGTTCTAATTTAAGCATCTAATTAATGTGTCATCTTGCAAACATTTCTGAAAGTCAAGTATCTTTCATATCAAACAGGCCTTTACATGTTGTCCCACCATGGGTGAACCAGTCCCCTGTTTACAATACATCACACCACACGGGTTGCCCCCCGCCCCGCCCCCACACTGTATTAAAGTGACCGGAGACGCATTCACTCTGTCCAGAACTGCTACGTCCACGTCTACATCGGCAGCTGCTGCAGTCATTTTCCAACGTGTATACAGAGTTAGTTTTCAATGCATGTTATTCGTCACTGAATGAAATTTCTTTGTATAGCACCACAGATTATATAATGCGAGATAACAGGAAGAATTCCATCGCTTTGTCTGACCGCCAGCAGGTTCCCCTTTATCAAACACAGCTTAAGTGTTCTGTTTTAATCGAAGTCATCCATCTGCCGTGTCGTGGATTCACACCTTGTTTTCTGCATCACTCACTTCTTATAAAGCAATTCCCCACGATAAAACCAGCGCATGAAACACAATTGGACTGCTGACGTCACACCCGTGGCTCCTCAAGCGAACCCCACAAAGAGAAGCGAACCTCACAAAGAGAAGCGAACCTCACAAAGCAAGTGAACCTCACAAAGAGAAACGAACCTCACAAAGAGACACGAACCCGACAAGGAGAAGCGAACCCCACAAAGAGAAGCGAACCTCACAAAGAGAAACGAACCTCACCAAGAGAAACGAACCTCACAAAGAGGAACGAACCCCACAAAGAGAAGCGAACCTCACAAAGAGAAGCGAACCTCACAAAGAGGAACGAACCCCACAAAGAGAAACGAACCTCACAAAGACAAGCGAACATCACAAAGAGAAAGCGAACCTCACAAAGAGAAACGAACCCCACAAAGAGAAGCGAACCTCACAAAGAGAAACGAACCCCATAAAGAGAAGCGAACCTCACTAAGAGAACGGACCTCACAAAGAGGAACGAACCCCACAAAGAGACACAGACCTCACAAAGATAAGCGAACCTCACAAAGAGGAACGAACCTAACAAAGAGAAGGGAACATCACAAACAGAAACGAACCTCACAAAGAGAAGCGAACCTCACAAAGACAAGCGAACCCCACAAAGAGAAGTGAACCTCACAAAGAGAAACAAATCTCACAAAGACAAGCGAACCTCACAAAGAAAGCGAACCTCACAAAGACAAGCGAACCCCACAAAGAGAAGCGAACCCCACAAAGAGAAGCGAACCTCACAAAGAGAAGCGAACCTCACAAAGAGAAGCGAACCCCACAAAGACAAGCGAACCTCACAAAGACAAGCGAACCCCACAAAGAGAAGCAAACCTCACAAAGAGAAGCGAACCTCACAAAGAGAAGCGAGACCCCACAAAGAGAAGCGAACCTCATAAAGAGAAACAGACCTCACAAGAGACAAGCCAGACCTTACAAGAGACAAGCAGACCTCACAAGAGACAAGCCAGACCTCACAAAGACAAGCGAGACCTAACAAAGAGAAAGCAGACCTCACAAAGAGAGAAGCGAACCTCACAAAGAGAAGCAAACCTCACAAAGAGAAGCGAGACCTCACAAAGAGGAACAGACCCCACAAAGAGAAGCAGACCTCACAAGAGAAGCGAACATCACAAAGAGAAAGCGAGACCTCAAAGAGAGCAGACCTCCACAAAGAGAAGCCAGACCCCACAAAGAGAGCAGACCCCATAAAGAGAAGCGAACCTCACAAGAGACAAGCTGAACCTCACAAGAGACAAGGAGACCTAACAAAGAGAAACGACCTCACAGAGAGACAAGCGAGACCTCACAAAGAGAAGCCGAGACCTCACAGAGAGAAGCGAACCTCACAAAGAGAAACGAGACCTCACAAGAGACAAGCTGAACCTCACAAAGAGGAACAGACCTAACAAAGAGAAGAACCTCACAAAGAGAAGCAGAACCTCACAAGAGACAAGCAGACCTCACAAGAGACAAAGCGAGACCTCACTGAGACAAGCCAGACCTCACAAGAGAAAGAACCTCACGAGACAAGCAGAACCTCACAGAGACAAGCGAACCTCACAAAGAGAAGCCAGAACCTCACAAAGAGAAGCGAACCTCACAAAGAGGAACAGACCCCACAAAGAGAAACGAACCTCACAAAGAGAAGCGAACATCACAAAGAGAAACGAACCCCACAAAGAGAGCAGAACCTCACAAAGAGAAGGAGACCCCACAAGAGAGAGCAGAACCCCACAAGAGACAAGCGAGACCTCACCAAGGAGAAGCCAGACCTCACAAAGAGAAGCGAACCTCACAAAGAGAAACAGACCTCACAAGAGACAAGCCAGACCTCACAAAGAGAAGAAATGAACCTCATAAAGAGAAGCGAGAACCTCATAAAGAGAAACGAGATCTCACAAAGAGAAGCCGAGACCTCACAAAGAAGCTGAACCTTACAAGAGACAAGCGAACCTCACAAGAGACAAAGCAAACTTCACAAGAGACAAGCTGAGACCTCCTGAGAGAGCAGACCTCACAAAGACAAGCCCAGACCTCACAAAGAGGAACGAGACCTAACAAGAGAAGCGAACCTCACAAAGAGGAAGCGAACCTCACAAAGAGAGCGAGATCCCACAAAGAGAAGCAGAACCTCACAAAGAGAAGCGAACCTCATAAAGAGAAGAAGCCAGATCCACAAAGAGAAGCGAACCTCAAAGAGAAGGAACCCCACAAAGAGAAGAGACCCCACAAAGGAGCAGACCTCACAAAGAGAAGCGAACCTCACAAAGAGAAGCGAACCTCACAAAGAGAAGCGAACCCCACAAAGAGAAACGAACCCCACAAAGAGAAGCGAACCTCACAAAGAGAAGTGAATCCCACTAAGAGAAGCGAACCTCACAAAGAGAAGCGAACCTCACAAAGAGAAACGAACCCCACAAAGAGAAGCGAACCTCGCAAAGAGAAGCGAACCCCACAAAGAGAGGCGAACCTCACAAAGACAAGCGAACCTCACAAACAGAAGCGAACCCACAAAGTGAAACTCACAAGCGAACCTGACACTGACATAGGACTGCTACTGGATTGAAAGAAGTAGGTTTAGTCCTCTGTTGGAGGCCAGATTACCTGTGACATATGTGTGTTTAATGTTCACTGGAGCTGGAGATCTGTTTGATGGGAGTTTGGGAAGCGATGGCCTACTCTCTGTACAAGCCACCAACTTACATATGACTGCTGGAGAAGTAATGATGCTAATTTCAACACACAAAGACTTACACCGTTCACCGTTGACAGCTGGTATCATGGGAGACAAAATGGGATTGACATCAATTCTAACAGGGTGTTAAATTGATGGACATTAAGCGTGGACGGCGACGAGGGAGGTGTCCTAACATACGTCATACACCAGAGGCGTACGTGAACATTTGGCGGCAGTCTACCCCAGTCTCAGTGTCTGCTACACCTAATGAGGAACGCCAGACAGGAATTGGTCCCACATTTAGGGCAAGGTCACTGATAATGTTAGGAATGTGATAGTTTGATGAAATTAGGTCACAATAATTTCAATCTGTTGAGCAAGCACAAGTTTCTAGATGAGCTGCCAATCGAAAATACCCCACCCCGAGGCAGTGACCCCAACCAATCAGCTCGGAGACGCCAACACTTGGACACCCTATCATTGATATACAGTAGTCACAGATTAAATCTGTCGGCCCTAACTCTCCATCTAGACTTATCTTCCCACACTGAACAGGGGAGTTTGTGTGAAGTTTTCTTAATTCAACATGTGTCAAAACTGCATTGTGAGATTTAGAAAGAGTATGACAGATCCGGTCTATTATGACGTCTGGTGCCTCTGTTATAAGATCCACCTGTCTCGCCACACGACTAATGACTGGCAGACGTAAGGGCACAGACATATCTTCAAGTGGTCTAAGAATCCTGCAGTATAGAAAAAGACAGGGACGAAGTATGTATTTCAGAACAAAACACCCGACGAAAGAATCTATGTTGAATGGCACAAGTTTTCTCCTGGTGTATGTCAACTCACTGTTACTTTACAATGAAACATGCACGACCATTGACAAGATTGATTCCGATTGAGTCATATAGCTGGAATATTGCTGAGTGCAAGGCTACAAAGGTAACCCCGAAATCTGAAGCTACTGTTTTGCTGTGCAGTGACTGTCGCTACGCATGCACACTGGCCCTTCCCTGTATATAACCAGAGACCATATAATAGATGGTCCCTGTATATAACCAGAGACCATATAATAGATGGTCCCTGTATATAACCAGAGACCATATAATAGATGGTCCCTGTATATAACCAGAGACCATATAATAGATGGTCCCTGTATATAACCAGAGACCATATAATAGATGGTCCCTGTATATAACCAGAGACCATATAATAGATGGTCCCTGTATATAACCAGAGACCATATAATAGATGGTCCCTGTATATAACCAGAGACCATATAATAGATGGTCCCTGTATATAACCAGAGACCATATAATAGATGGTCCCTGTATATAACCAGAGACCATATAATAGATGGTCCCTGTATATAACGGTGTGTGTAGTGTTTCTCCGAGCTGTCTGCAGCTGCCCAGCGGGCAGTCGTGCAACCATAAGGTTTTCTAGCTGGCACAACATGGTCAAGATTGTCCTGGGGCTCCTTTCACGAAGCAACCATTACTAAGGTTAACTTTAACCCCCATTCTTTAACATCGCACTAAGGTTAACTTTAACCCCCATTCTTTAACATCGCACTAAGGTTAACTTTAACCCCCATTCTTTAACATCGCACTAAGGTTAACTTTAACCCCCATTCTTTAACATCGCACTAAGGTTAACTTTAACCCCCATTCTTTAACATCGCACTAAGGTTAACTTTAACCCCTATTCTTTAACATCGCACTAAGGTTAACTTTAACCCCTATTCTTTAACATCGCACTAAGGTTAACTTTAACCCCATTCTTTAACATCGCACTAAGGTTAACTTTAACCCCTATTCTTTAACATCGCACTAAGGTTAACTTTAACCCCCATTCTTTAACATCGCACTAAGGTTAACTTTAACCCCCATTCTTTAACATCGCACGAAGGTTAACTTTAACCCCCATTCTTTAACATCGCACTAAGGTTAACTTTAACCCCCATTCTTTAACATCGCACTAAGGTTAACTTTAACCCCCATTCTTTAACATCGCATTAAGGTTAACTTTAACCCCCATTCTTTAACATCGCACTAATTTAACTTAGTGACTTACGATCATCTAGTGCTTTGTGAAAGGAGGCCCCGGTCTCGTGAAGAGACGGTCGTGACGTCACTGGTCGCGCCATCCTTGTCCTGGTCTCGTGAAGAGACGGCCGTGACGTCACTGGATGGGCCATCCTCGGTTATGTAGGGTATCGCATCTCCAGCAGGTCATTGTGATAGATACCCATGACTCATTAGCTACCTCCACCTTGTTGTGAAGTCACCACTTTCATCTTTCTTACCACCACCGATGCCAAGAATCCCTGGCTGGTGTGTTTGAAATCAAGAACCATTCAAATATCTCCTCTACGCGCGGCTTTGGCAGAGATCTTCATCTAATCAAATTAGTAGCATATCGAAACCGAAGTTAAAGCTGGCGAGATTAATCTTTAAGCTGACCATTGAAGGGTTTGGGAGACGGGGTAATTGTGGGGTGGGTGGACGAGTCCATGTGCCTCCTTAGATCCCCATTTGTATTTGAGAAGGTTCTGAGAAAATCAGTCATTCTACTGGTCTCAATTGTATTTGAGCAGTTAACACGGTGAAGGTTGATCAATATTCTGATCCTAACTATGAAGGTTGATAATATGATCCTAACGGCGAAGGTTGATATTGTGATCCTAACGGTGAAAGTTGATATTGTGATCCTAACGGTGAAGGTTGATATTGTGATCCTAACGGTGAAGGCTGATATTGTGATCCTAACGGTGAGGCTGAAAGATCCTTGAATATTGTGATAATAACGGTGAAGGCTGATATTGTGATCCTAACGGTGAAAGTTGATATTGTGATCCTAACGGTGAAGGCTGATATTGTGATCCTAACGGTGAAGGTTGATATTGTGATCCTAACGGTGAAGGTTGATATTGTGATCCTAACGGTGAAGGTTGATGTAGTGATCCTAACGGTGAAGGTTGATATTGTAATCCTAAAGGTGAAGGCTGATATTGTGATCCTAATGGTGAAGGCTGATATTGTGATCCTAACGGTGAAGGCTGATATTGTGATCCTAACGGTGAAGGTTGATATTGTGATCCTAACGGTGAAGGCTGATATTGTGATCCTAACGGTGAAGGTTGATATTGTGATCCTAGCAGTGAAGGTTGATATTGTGATCATAACGGTGAAGGTTGATATTGTGATCCTAAGGGTGAAGGTTGGCACTGTGATATCAGCAAGCAATCGCTGAATGGATGGAAATAAAATGTCGTTTGTGAATTGTGATCTGTTTAAGTTTATACAACCACAGGACGATCGTCGAGTTCTTCTCCGGCAATCAACAATGAAATATTGCTTGTATAAACTTGAGTCCACCAAAACCAAGCTCACAGACAGTTTCATTCACACTGTCATCTACACAATCTTTACTAAAGCCATGCTTACATTGATTTATACAATATTATTGAATTATGTCACTTTGGTTGACTAAATATCGCAACAAACATCCAACAAACCCCGAACACTTCAAGCATACGTTAAAGTTATTTAAGCAATCTTCGGATTATAGGATATTTAGCCCATGTAACCTATTACACAATCAACCTTCACCTGTATATCACGTAAAACATCTTTGATGATCGCATCACCTTCAAAGAAAGGTTTTGCACTCTTAGAAACGACAGCATGTTCTCCCAGGAGCCGACTGCAACTTGTCTGCTGTGATCCGCTTGATTGAAAGACGACTATCCTGTAAAGCAGTCCTCCGTTTCGTTTTTCTGCAAGTCCTGGAGCGAGATTTCTGTGTAATTACAGGAAGACGATCATGTCCTGGAGACTGGATTTGTCACCGACAGATTGGCCGCTGCAAGATACACAGCATTCTGCAAGTCCAGAGCTAGACTACCGCTTAGTCTCTGAATATATAGAATGCTAGAAATTTAGATTGAAACGGGTCCCCAGTGAGACGGGAGATTCAGAATCTGAGGAAATCTAGACTTGCTTCATTCAGGGCATAGCATTGCAGAAAAGGCTGGGCAGAAGGGAAAATAGCTCAGTTCAGGGAATTATTTCAGCAGATTTCTTTAAAATAAGTAATCTTTTTCTGCAGTATTGTGTCAGTAAACTGAACATTAAAACGGACCTCCTCTTTGTCGTAAAACAAATCT